TGCGATAGAACTTTATTCAAAAATTAATTTGAAAAACAATAATAATAGTAAGAAAAACTGACATTTAAACGTCAAAAATATTTCTGACAAAGATTACAGAGCCTACTAAGATTTTTTCATTAAAAGTTGATTCCAACTTTTGATCGACAACCCCGAGGTTTAACGTGCGGTATTTGCTTTATTATTTTTTTTTTTCTCAAAAATTAGTCGTTTTTGGAAAAATTTTAGAGAGACAAAAAAGTTTTAGGATACTTTCATCTATCTAGGTACATTTTTTTTAATGTATTTATCATCTGCATAAAAAAAATATTAGCAAAAATGTAAAGGGGGTGGTTACGTTTAGTAATTTAGAAGGGTAGGAGCCGAAGTTGCCCATAGTTCATATATCAAAGTACCCTTAAAATTCACTAAAGAATCACCCCTTGAAGTTTGTTGCAGTCATTCAGATACAGCCTGTATAGAAGCAGTTGTAAACACTAAAACTTGAAGCCAACGCAATACGCGGTTTGTTTACTAACAACCTTTGTCGAAACCGGTTGAAACAATGAACATGCACAGATCGGACCAGCGGCCGATTATCGCCAAACATTCCCGAATATTATTGCCCGTAGAATAAGGCATACACTAAAATAAATGCGTCAAAAGTTGTAATACATTTTCCGAAGGTACTAAAACGTTATAAAATAACGAAAATAATTTTTTTTTCAAAAATTATAAGCGATCGTGAAAATTTTTTCAAGTAAAAGTTATGTGAAATTATACTGTCAACCCAACTGAAGAACAAAAAATTATAGATTTAAAAAAATAGCGAAATTAGTACTCACATCCGGTATAACCGGAAGTACAAAAAGAATGATTTCATGTCGTAATAATCCGTTTTAACGGTCTAACTATTCATTCCAAATGGTTTTCTTATATCACCAATAATAAAGAAAAATATGGGGGTGAGCCACTTTTAAGGGACACCCAGTATANGTTAAAGTTGAAATTTAAACGCGAAGAAAAGATTAATAAAACTCTCATTGATCGCGCTGTTATGCAACCAGTTGAGTTTGATATGAATCAATTAAGGAAGGAAATGGAAGAACATGAGAGATTTGCTGAGGAAAAACGAAAACGCGCTGAAGAAGTGAAATTGGTTAAAGAAAAGGAGAGGTTGAGGAGATTGGAAAGAAAAACAAGAAAAAGAAGTTTAATTGGTGTCGATGGTTTAGAAGCTGAGGAACCTGAAGAGCCACTTAAAGAACAAAAACCAAAACGAAAACGACGTAAAAAGCATCCTTATGATAGTCTAAAAAAAGGAATCAATTCTTTATTGGAAGATACAGACGATTCAGATGAAGAATACATGCCTAATTCAAATAATGAAAAGACAGAAACAAAACGAGCTGCTATTCCAAGAGAAGTCAAAAAACCTAGTGTGAATGTTCAAGAAAATGAAAACATCGAAAATCCCAGCGATAATGATAAAAATTTAGAGCCAGGTTCTTTAATGATTGTTCCTTCTTCACAATCGGGAAAAACTTTATATAAAGTCTTTATGATTACAGACGATCGTGGTAAACAAGAGGTTGATATGGATGGGAAAACTATAGAACAACTTACCCAAGAAAATAACGAAAAATCTGTTAACATTCAAAATATCATCACAATATCCGAAAATGTTATTGTGGATGAACAAACGCCCATCAGTACTAACGAAAATAATATTGAAATTACAAAAGACAGTATCATTTTTGATTTCGACGAATGTCCAATCAATTCAAGCAATAATTCGAACATTACAATTTCACATGATGATAACAAAATGACGATTGTCACTGAGAGTTAAAAAAAAAACACTGTTATTTAATGGACCGCATTTTACATGTACTCGTTATACTTTTTTTTTTATTATTTATTTCTGTGGTGCTTAGTTTTTAATTTATATATTTCCGAGTTGAAACGCGCTGAAGCTGATTCTCCTGATATAATGAAGTAAGAGTTACTTTATTTGTGTTGTTTGTATCTTTTTATATGCTATTGATGAAGCTTTATAAGCTCTTAATAAACGCCAGTTGAACATAATAAAATTATTTTGATTTATATATCCTTATTTATTAATATATCTTTTTTTTTTAATTTGTATTATTGATTACTATTTTGTTAATATTTACAAAGATATCTTAAAATCATATGTATAAAGTGAATTTCACTTAAAGATGCAATTTACACAAAAATATATTTCCATAGAAACCAGGGAGTACTTACTTAGTCCCATATAAAATGCTACATAAGAGACGTATGGCTAAACCCAAATGTTTCGCAGCACGTCTCTAAAGATAGAACTAGGATCATTCGGGTTTAGCCGTCTTTAGAGACGTGCGGCTAAATCCGAATGTTTCTAGTTCTAGGTCTTGTGTTAGTTCTAGTGATAGTGCAAAACTAGAACTAACACTAGATCTAGAACTAGAAACATTCGGATTTAGCCGCACGTCTCTCAAGACGGCTAAACCCGAATTATTCTAGTTCTAGGTCTTGTGTTAGTTCTAGGGATAGTGCTAGTGTAAAACTAGAACTAACACTGGACCTAGAACTAGAAACATTGAAGACGCACGGCTAAACCCGAATGTTCTAGTGGTGTCTAGGTTAGTGTCTAGGTTAGTATCTAGGTCTAGTGTTAGTTCTAGTTTTAGTGCAATAAAAATATGTAACATAGTGATATCTTATGTTAACTAGCACTACTACTGTCACTAGAACTAACATTAGACCTAGAACTAGAAACATTCAGACATGTTGCATTTTATGTGGGAGAAGATAAGTAGGTACCCCCTGGTTTCTTTGGAAACATATTTTTATACAGTGTGTCCCCGGATAGATGTGAACGACTCTTATAAAATGTAAAATTTTTTCGATATTAATTGTCATCTTTTGGGGTCAGCCCTACTTGGTTAAAGACTAATTTTGAACATATCTTCAAGTCTTAAAAAACTAGTGAGTGTCGACACTGAAGCTAAAACTTCTTGTGTGTCATGTAAAGTACCTTTTCTGTTTACAGTATGGTAAAATGTTACCAAGAAATATTATTTAGAATCAAAATTTCAGAATCATTGGGCTACTTTGAAAAACTTTTTTTTTAAATTTCGTCAATAGGACTTTATTACCATTTTTTGTTTTGAGGTTCAGATTGTTCTCAAAATGATCCCTAAAAATTAAGTGTGTATTCGCCCACAAAAGAAAACAGTTAATCATAGTTGTTCACTCAGTTTCATCATAATTTTTTTTTCTTAGAGTGAATACTTCCTGTTGTAAGAAATCTGTTGATTAAACGCCAACAAGTACTTCTTTTAATTCCAGTATTTGGAAATTTTTCACTAAAAACCATATTTATCGGTCTTTCCCCGGTTTCATAACACTGAATCACGTAAACTTTTTCCTCTAATGTTAACATTGTATTTAAAAAGCACTTTAAGTTTAATAAATTACAGTTTGACAGATTAACATTGATAAGAAAGCAATTTTGTTTTTCCATGGCAGTCTTTGTTAGAAATAAAATTGTTTGATATGGATTTTTTTTAAACTAGGCCGATCATTCCGAAAATTTGCATATGACCATAATTTTTCATTCTGAACAAAACTTCTTAGTAACACTTTCACGTGCTATAAACAGAAAAGGTACTTTACCTACCTCAAAAAATGACAATTAATATCAAAAAAAAATTACCTTTTATAAGAGTCGTTTCACCTATCCGGGACACACTGTAGATAATAGTGCATCGAAAAAT